TTTTTATCTACCCCGTTTCAGACGAATGAAGAAGAGGCCTTGGCCAAATTATTAAAAGGCTTCAACAGTCAGAGGCAAAACGGGCGGGCCGTGGATTCTTGTTTTTCTTTTTTTTTTTTTGCTGCAAAAACCGCAGTGACAGGAAGTCACTCGAAAAGGGCGTGGCAGGGGCGGGGCGGGGCGGTATATGCAGCTATGAGTCGATTAATTAAACCACAAGCGTTTAAGCGGCAAACCGCAGCGGTGGGTGGTTGCCAAGTCGAGTTTACTTTAATTTGACTTTTACTTATACGCTTATATCGCAGCCTGTCCCACCCACACACACAAGCACACACAACATACACAAATAGCGGCAAACGGAGAGAGCGGGACAGAGTTTACCCGCATCCGGTGCTGCTGGCTCTGCTTCGTCTACTTCCGGTCCCAGCGCGGCAGAGGCAATCAAATTTCGTATTAATTATGTGCTTAACCAAACACCTCACACACGCGCACACACGCACACACGCACACCCTAAAAAGCACACCAACACACACTCGCATTAAAGGAAGAACAACATCATCAACAGCAAACCATTATGAGAAATGAGCGGGACAGGCGACGGAAAGGCATGTAAGTAATTTAATATACCACTTCAAAGCCAGAAAGCTCCGAAATTCCAGTTTCGAACCTTTAAATAATTTGATTTGATCAAATCGCTAAAATTACAAATTTTCAAGTTATGCTTATGGTACATATATCAATAATCATTGTAATTATTTATAAAAATGTGTAAGGCATTTAATTAATTAAACTATTTATATGATAAGTAAGCTAGTACATTCTGTTGTAGAATCACGCCACTTTTCATATAAGTATGGAAATATGTTCAAAAGTACCAAATATTACACAAATTAAATTTAATAGGGCTGCTTGAAAACATCCAACTTGCCATCACTCGGTGTCGGCTGCCAAAATTGTAAACTGGCAGCCTGGGGATACGTTGACGCCGACGTCGGCGGCTGGCGGCTGGCGTTGGCACAAAGATTATGCCAAACCGGCCATGCGGAGATGTGGCTGTGTGGAAGGATGTGGAGCGGTAGAGGGTCAGGTCAGGGACAGGCGACAAGGCAATAATTCTTTGGTTTTCACATTTTGCCCGTCGCCCGTTGTCGAAAATCTTTTTGCGGCTTATGTTACACCAGGACAGCCCACCGAGCAACCCGGCCACCAACCCACTACACATCCCATCCAGAGGGGCTGGAAGGATGTGGGCAAGTGGGCGTGTCCTTTGGGACGGGCGACACATGTTACGGGTCAGTGGCGCCGCTGCCGGCGGCTTACACTTTTGGGCTTAGATTTTATTCATTTGCATATGCATGCTTATGATGGGATTTATTTATTTGACTCTCTCCCCATTTATTCGACTTTCGTGCTGATTTTTTTCATGGCCCAGTTAAGTTGGCTATGTGGGAATTAAACGCAGTGATACATCGCTCATACTTACAGGTCCAAAGGTACATATTTGGTATAAATATTATTAGCCAGATTAGCCACACCAATACGTTCTTTCCCAGATCTCATTCGGTATTTATCACACATTTCCATCAATCACAAGAGTAGCTTTGGTACAGTCCCGCATCACGCTTTTGACCAGATGGCAACGCTGCACGTTAGGTGGCGCAACGGAAATTAAAACCCTTGCCTCGACAACAACCTTTAACTCGGCTCGCACGCAACACACGCGCGATTAGCAGCAATTTGTACAGCAATTAAGTTCAAGTGCAATAAAAGTTATTTGCACCGCAAAGTGCAGCGGGGAAAATGGCGGCAGTGATGGCGAATGTTGCTGCAGCCGGTACAACAGCGATGACAACCGTAAGTCGGCAAACGGCAGGAGCCAAAAGTTATGCACTTTTTTAAGTGAATATGATTGCATTCTAATGTCAGGCCATAAATTAGCGACTCGGACTCCGGACTCCGGACTCCGGACTCCATGGCGTGACCTCAGCTCAGCACGCGATCCACGCCGCTGACAGTCTCGCTATCCACACAATTCACACAGTGAGCACCACCCAGCACCACCCAGCACCACCACCCCGAGTTCTTCCCTCAGGACCTCCGAACTCCACTGCGCGTTACGTGACAGGAGTATGCGAAACTTTTCAACTTGAACGAAAATTTATATGCTGAAAAATATAGCGAGCGAAGCCAGTGCACACCGACCAACAGCCACCGCAGAAAAAAAGAAATCAGGGAAAAATAATGGTGAGAACGGTAAAAGAGTTTGCCACACATAAAATACCCAGCACTGCGATTCCTTTTTTGTTTACGATCTGCCATAAAACTATGGAATGGCTTCATTTGATTTTGACATAGATATTGCCGCACAAAATCGTCGAAAGATAGCACAGAATGGCAATAGTAACGAAATGCACTGAAGTTGAAAGGGCAGTGTATTCGCTAAATGAAAATCTCTAAAATGCATGAGTTACAATAGTAATAATAAAAATAAGCGTGGTCAAGTTTAGCTAAACAACTATGCAACGGTATATATTCAAGCACCAAAAGTTGTGCTGCATGGATGTCGAGTTCGTATATTTCTGTTCCGCCGCAGACCAGTGCCATGTGTTTATAAAGGCCAAAGGAACTACCATCCCAAAAGTTGTGATCACAGCTTCTCTAGATCCCAAGATCGGATAGACTAGATATGGCTGCATATGCCCCAGCACATCCTAAGGTATCACATGGAAAAGGAAGGGGTAGAACTGTGCGAAAAATTCGCAGAGCATGACTGGGCTGCAAAGTGGGTGGTGCGAGGTGGTGCGAGGTGGTTCTTACCCCGCGAGTGCGAGTGCGAGTGGGTGTGATGAAGTAAGAGGTTCGCAAGTGGGGGCGACATTTTGTGCGGTTTCGCGTGCCACTGCAAAGTTGAACGTGCTCGGCTAATGCTGCTGCTGATGCTGATGTCATAGCTCCGGCTGTAGCTTCTGCTCCGACTCCTGCTCCTCCGGCGCATCTGGCACTGCCAAGGCCAAGGGGCGATGTGCGATATGGGCGTGGCACATGCACTCGTATGCCGCCGCTGAAGATGAAAAACTGTTGCGGATTACGTGGTGGTAAAAACTTTTGACGCTTGATTTTCATGCTGATTGTAATCCCTGCCCTGTGCACGAGTGCCATCCAGCCCCGATAATGGAACGGGCTAAATATGTCAGTGGGCGTGGCAATTAAAACCGCGCTGCAAGCTATTCAAAAACTGAACCGGAATATAATGCCAGCGAGCTGATATGTACGCAGTTGGACCGCGGAAACATCGGTATTGGATTGGAGCCCCTGGGGGCCACGCACTCTGGCCTTGTGTACGCGTATTGCTGAATGCTGCAACTGGAAACTAATGAACCTTTCAACTCGCTGCAAGCAGTGTTGCAACCATGGGTTGCATGGAAACAGCGAGGTCCTGGCCTAAAAATATCTGCAACTTCGAACGCCACGCTTACAACAAGTTATTTTGCACTTGCTTCACAGGATTTATGTGGTATAAAAGACCCATCAGTTTATTCAAATCGTCTTTATCACAGGAGTAAGTAATTTACATTATGAGAAATAGTATTGATATTAAGAAATAATTGGGTTGTTGTTAATTATTAAAAGTCGCCCAGGGATAGGAGTTTTTCTGATTCGAACAAACGGCCAGTATGTTCATAAATATGAAATATACACGCTTTATTCATGAAATAGCCAAGTTGCATGTTCTATTGCCCGAGAGCATTTTGCATGTGGCTGTGCACAGCAGTGAATTGTGGCAGTATCGAATATTTCGCTGTTAACGATGGGCTGTGGGTGCATCACCATTTTCGCCCACGTCGCTGGTTTTCCCGGCTACACTGGTATGCAGAATGTGTTTCCATTCGGCCATGACATTTTCACCCGGGGAGCCCGGGAACTCGAGACCCTGGAGTCCAGGAGGATGCGTATTTAACATTTTCGATGTGGACCCTTTGGCCGCCGAAAAAAGGGGAGCGAAACTAATTTATTTCCATTAGTCGGCGACGTCGGCCACGTGAAATATTTCCGCTAATTGGCATTTGGCAGGACGCACAGCAAGTAGAGCCTGGATGCCTGGATGCCAGGGTGACTGGGTGACTCTGGGTGCCTGGACTGCGACCCTCACAAAACATTCCGTAATTAATCATTTTCTGATTTGCACGGCGGCTCTGGCATTTTTCCGGCCATTTGGCGACGCCGGCTTCGCATTTTACGCGCCGTTAAAGTTTAATCGAAAAAGTATTTTTGTGGCCAATGAAAATTCCAATAACGAAATGCCAGCCGCAACAAACTTCTTGACTTTTTTATGCCCAGCCGGCAGCCGGAGAAGTTTTTCCGACCTCCCTCACTTGCACCTGTAGCCCAGGTCGGCTTTGCTTTTGGCCCTTACTTTTGCCTTGGCTTGATTAGTCCGGGGGTCTTGGTGGAGTCCCGGATCCGGACATTGATGCACCCGGATGAGTCGAGTGCGGAGAATGCCTGCATTTGATGGACATCGCCCATCGTCAAATTGTCTGGCTGAACTTTCGCAATGTGTTGCGTTGTGGCCATTCGCAGGAAACAGGAAAAGTTTTCCCTCTAATGCGCAATTAAGCTCAAATTCCGGCGGAGGTGGACCTTGTGGATCATCACCTAAACGACAAATCCCCGGATGCCCCCGTCAAAATACTCAAAAATTGACAGCTACAGAGATGAGATGGAATCAAAGAAGCGCTGGAATTTTAATTGAATGGCCAGCCGCACAAGTTATGGGCCATAAAATGTGTGCATCAGTAGTTGGGATTTTCAAATAGTGCAATTAAATTCTACCAACATACTTAGGATCAAAGTGTTCGTTCCCAAATGCAGCATGTTAACATAGTTTAATTTAACTTGTATTTAAAGAATTAAGTGCTGCGGAAATTCTGTACCATTCCCATTTATTTTTACACAGGAGTGCCAAGTCACAAATTTCATCAGAACAAACAGAGAACAATTTTACTTCCCCCTTCAGTTAGCTTAGCAACTCAAAATCTCTAGCCATGAAAATTGTATCTGTTTGACAAAACGATAAAAACACAGCATAAGAACACCAGTTCACAGGTTTAACCCAGACCCAACCACAGAAACTCACACAGAGCAAATCCAGCTCCAGATAATCCGAGGACACACACCAAATGGGCGCCCAGTTGGCCGGCGAATCGCGTGCCGAGGGCGGAGCGGGAGCAGGAGCAGGAGCAGGAGCAGGACCACACCCACCGCAAGGGCAGGAATCTGCGACGGAAAAGGCGGAGAAGACGCAGAGCGAGTTGCCGGGGCAGCCGAATCAGGAACAGGAGGGAGGACGACCCAACCAGAAAGCGGAGCACCCACAACCGATGCCCGTTTCCGGACGCCACACCAGATCGCGCAGCATCACCGCGGATATCCAAAGAATGTGAGTACGAGTATCCTGCCAGAAGTATTGCGAAATATGTAAGAGAATACTTTGCAATTGGTAAATGTCTCGATTCAATCGCAGGCCCACGGAGCTCATTTACGCAGAGTTCGATCGCCTGATTCAGCAGGTGGAGCTCCACGTGGGGCAGGTGGCGGCGGAGCCACCGTGCCTGGACGTGGCTGCCCGGCTGCAGAGCTGCCTCCAAGCGCACCCGCAGCGGTCGTGCAACTGCTTTGCGGCCATGGAGGAGTACCGCCACTGCGTGCTGCGGGCCACCCAGAACCGCGTGGACGACTTGGCGGACATGGAGCCGCCGACTATGACGGTGGTGCCGCCCAAGGCGATGCCGCCGCCCGCTGTGCCGCCGCCGAGTGCGCGGGGCAACCGCAGGTGGTGGAAGTTTTGGACCTGGTTCCGCTAGCCGGATGCAGTGCGCCCGAGTCCCAAGCGTTGTCCGTTTCACAGCCCCAGCACGATGCTAGAGAAATGGCTTTATTAATTAAAAGCATAGGTTTCCCTGGCTGCCGAGGTGGCCAAAAGGTTGCCTACTTCAAGTGGATTTCGGCACAGTGGCTGCTCGGAAACTCGTAACGGCAGCTTTTAGTTCAAGTTGATAATTTAAAGCCAATTAGATAGGTATTTTGTATGTTCTGTGGAAAATATGCACTTTATTGATACGTCTGTTGCTAATATAAGCATTCAATTGTATTTATACCCTGAACATAATACGTAGGTCTTGGAAAAAGATTAAATTACTCTGCTACTGCCTACAGACGATTTTAGTTGCTATTATTTATGGTTAATTAATTGGAAATCCAAATGGGTCACATGACGAACAATAACCCAAGCTACACGGACGGTGGAATCCAACTGAAAATTGCATTGTGTGGTTAACAATAAATGCCGTAATAAATGCTGCAACTCAGACTTTGATTCAAATTGTAGAGCCAGGCGAAAGGCAATTGGGAAATGTAACATTTGCCACAAGCTGCACGCGTGTAATTCCATGCTTTCAATTTGTGCCGAGTCAGTGGCTGCTTTATGTCCATCATAGCGGGCTGTCACTGTGGCGGACAGAAGACAGAAGAGCTGGAGCTGCCGAGCTCCCGTTGCCCATTAGCCTCCAGGGCGGAGTGCGCCCGGCTCCCTGTATCTGTCTATTCATTCATTTGGATGTCCATATCCTGTGGCCAGCGGAGGGGGAGTTGGGGGGTGGTGCATTTGCCAGACGAGAATGCAGAATTGCAATTTGCAATAAAAGTAAATCTGCTTTGGCGCCGAGCTCCGGTTCCAGCTGGCTAGCTCCTTACATTGTTATCCAACCCGTTCCCGTTCCCGTTCCCTTTCCCGTTCCCGATCCCAATCCCCTTTTCAAAAACCATCTGCCGCCATATGTGGTGCCCATGTGGCTGTGTGTGTGGTGGCTTCAGGTTGAAAGCCTTTCGGGCAAGGTAAGCAAACATTAGAATTTATTAAATCCAGCTCATGCAGCGCAGCCCCGCCCACTTCTTCGCTCCGCCCAGAAAAACCAACGGGGGGGGGGACAAAAAATTATAGCATATAAAACTCACCTTGCCACGGCTGCGGCAGCGCACATTCAACTTTTGGGCCAGGCCAAAACCCACACACCAACGTATGCATATGCATATACATATACATACACACTCCAACGGACACCGGGTGCGCCTGTATTATCTTTCACACACACACACACACACACACCCGCTTATAGCCCGGTACATATTTGCCCTTACATAATCCAACTTTGCTCTTAGCATTTGGCAAAGCAAACAAAATGACAGCGCCAAAAAGGAGTTAGCCGCATCTACACTGACCCAATGTTCGTCGATTATAAACTCATATTTAAAATTAATTATAAGCCATTTATACCATTAAAAGTTGAGCTGCATTGATGGCATATTTCATTGAAAAGTTGCAAGTGGAATATGATGGATTATAAATATAATTGTATTGATAATTGATAATTCTTCCAGTGTAACGTAAGGGCTACATGCAAATATTAAGACGAAACATCGCATACATTGTACTTTGCTCCGCCAAAATCAAAGAAACGTATCTAAGCGGATCACTAATCCCCAAAAGGAAAATGCAACTGTGAAACTGTTGGCTGGGAAATGCATTTCCCTATTATTTTGAAATATTTAATGGTCACGGGGAGCTAAATACCTGTTACTTAAGCAATATGTTGAAGCACAGAAACTGAGGTCTGCATTTGGACAACAAATCATTTCGGAAAATAATGAAAATCCCAAACACTTTCTTAGCATTTTCCCGATTATTTGCTTAAGCAGGAAGCACGGAGAAATGCAAAAGAAATGCAAACTGTCGTATTTGAGTTATTCGTGGGATTTGCCGGGTAAGTTGTTACTTCCCCAGGAAACAGGCGATTTATTATCGCAACTTAATCTCACAAAAACACGTCAAACCTGAAAATCCTGCTGCTCGGCAGCCCCCTTTCGCCGCACGCCCATGGAAAAGTGTGGGGGTGGTATGCTTCTGCCCGCCGCCGTTGGCTTCATAAAAAACCAACTACATGGAGTGCGCATAGCAACAAAAACATGCAGGCAAATCACAGTGTACAGCGCCCTTCGCCCCCTCCCCCTCCTTCTCCTTCTGTATTTTCCCCCTTTTTGTGTTGAGAAACCCCCTCGAAAGCCCCACCACTGGCAATTTCCATTTGGTTGCCCTTCTGCGGGATTCGAGCAGAGAAAAAAATTGTGCAAATTATTATATTAGCGAATTTATTATTTCAGATATGTAAAGGCAGCTGAAGAATTCCCTTAAGTTGCCCAGGATTTTTCAATTTATTTCTAGTCAGAAATAGGAAAAATACTGATTAGTACTCATCATAATAATATTAATTTTGGTGAATAATTTAAATCAGCATACTGCGTTTTTGATTGCATTTTTTTCCTCAATATGATTTTTTCCACCTTTGAGCTCTTAATATATTTCGCACTTAAGTTTCGTCCTGTGCAATTCGCTTAGCCGTGTGCTTTCCGTTTGGCTCTCCCTTTTTTCTTTTTTGGTAACAGTTTTGGCCACTGCTTTTTTCTATTTTCCTCGTTGTGCCATAAAGATTATTATGAAAGTATTTTGCTAAGCTTTCCGAGTTGAGTGGAGATGGGATGTGTCGGGTTGGACTGGGCCTTGGAGTTTAGGTGAGGGTCCTGCTTCTGCCACTTCCTCTGCTTCTGATGCTGGTTTCGGTTATGGTTATGGTAGGGCTATGGTTCTGGTTCTGGTTCTGGTTCCGGTGGAGGCAGCTCCGTTGCCCGCGCTATCTGGCTGCGCATCCGTCTCTGTCATGCCATTTGGCTGGCACTCTCGAGGCCTTAAGTGTGCATGCATTATGCCATGTGCAGTTGCAGTTGCAGTTGCAGTTGCAGTGGCAGTGGGAGTGGCAGTGGCAGTGGCAGGAGCCGTGCCGCGTGTAATATGCATGCATGGGTAATTTATCAGGACACAGCACAGCTTTAAATTTGATTTAAGCCCTCGCCGCTGATTGCCATGTTCCAGCCCATGTCCATGTCCATGTCCATATAGCCATCGTTTTAGTTGTCCTGGCCAACTGACGGCAGCTCAAATGCAATTAAACGGCCCGGCCGCAGAGCAAATCAGGCACAAATCTCAACTGGACTCAACTTTCGCCGTGCAGCTAGCAAGTGTAAATGTTTGTTTCCCAGAGAAAAGTTAGATGGATAAGGCATAACATTCCTCTATAGGTATTTATTTAAGTCCTTCTATGGCAAACTAAGGTCACATACATGCCACATGCTCTTTGCTTGTTGCAGTGTAATTACATACTTCGAAGCTTATGAATCATTGAGCTCCATAAAGCCAAATGTAAACGCTTTCATTGCCAATAAATGAAAACTGTCAAAAAGTAGCAAAATTGCTGTTTTGTATTTGCTGAAAGCCACGCATGCAAATCATTTGCTTAGCAAATAAAGCCGGCAGTGTGGTATAATCGCAAAATAAATGCAGTAGTGCAAAGCCAGGCCATGAATCATATGGCCCGAAAACCCCTTATCAGGCGCACACCAACCAAAAAACTTTCGACCCCAATTTCAGCGACCTTAATCCATCTGTCAGTGGAGCGAAGGAGCAATTCCGTGTAGCCGAGTGTAGCAGCCTGGCTTTTTGTCCACGCCTTTTGTATCCTTGCAGCATTTTTGATATGCTTTTAGTTTTCGGTGTTCTTACGCCGGGCCTGGGCAGGAGCCACTCCTTCCAAGTGGGGCTACCCTATCCTACGAAGCCCTCCTGGCGGCATGGGCATATGGAAATCGGATAGCGCCGACATGGCCAAAGTTGTTTGTTTTTTGTTTTTATGTTGTCTTCAGCCGCGTTGCATAAGTGCATTTGTCTGCCAGCCCGACGAGCTCTTGTTTCGCCCGTAGTCCTGTGGAGCTGCTCCTGCAGATTCGGCAAAAAGCCGTGCCGAAAACCGATGCAAACCCAAACTCAAACCCGTTCACATACCCTTTTCCGTTTTCTCACACTGGTCCGGGCACTTGTTTTCAACGGAATCAATTTAGCGTAAGAAGTTTCAGCTCCAAGCTCCAAGCTCCAAGTTGTTGTCATGTGCAGGGCAAAGCAGCAGGGGCGGAGGTCAGGGGTCAGGACAGGGGGGGAGTGGGTGGTGTGCGTGTGTGTGTGGTGCAATTATGCCAACGACAGCTGCCTGGCAGCCTCGTCGTCGCTCTATTAATCAAAAGTTATACAAAAAGCCAGCGAACTTCGCCACACGACTTGCCCCCCAGCACCGCCCGCCCAGTTTTCCACCGCTTTTCCGGGCTGAGCCGCATCTCCCTATTCCCAGCTCGATTTTCTCAGCTCCAGCTCCAGCTCCAGCTTCACTTCCTCATCCTGTTCTCCTTGCTGTTTGCAATTTAACTTTGCTGTGAGCGAAGGCTCTTCATGAGTTGGACCAAGCTTATGTGCGCAAACACATAGATACACTTCAGGGAATCTTACACAGAGTTCTATTAACAATAACAACTTGATAATAGTGAAAAATATGAAACTGATATAGCATGCATCCATGGGCACAACACATGTATACATGCTTCCCTTAATTTAAACGGAATTCATGCATGAAATGCCTTAAAGAATATTTCCTTAAGTCGCTTTCTTTTATAAAAATATCTAAATAATTGAATCTTCATTTGATAAACACGCAATGTTTCTTTCAGCGCACGATGTAAGTGTGTCTGTGCGGCTTGGCGAGTAAAACAAGATATAATATTTTATGAAAGCTTTGGCAACCACTGCGCCCCATTCCGCAATGGACTGGGACTCATTGGCCATAAATAAATAAGGCAGCCAAACACAATCAAAAACCAATGAAGCAGACCAGCAGCCACAAATGACAGGAGGAGCTGCGAGTGGAGCTCCTGGAGGCCAACCATCATCATCGTCGTGTCAGCTTTTTGTCCTCGTGCTTGGCCAGCTTGGACAGCCAGCGGGAGTAGTTGGCCATGATTTAATGCCCTAATCTGTTCCGTTTTTCACTCGCCTTTCAGCCACTTTGCTTGCCCGAAACACTCGCTTATTCGCCTTTCCCGAGATCTTTTATAAGTTTTGTTACTTCACCTCATTTCTTCACCTCATGTGTGTTCCTACCTGGACATACACATGTCCAGTTGCGAAAGATACTCCATCTGGAAGATCCCGACTAATTTCAATGCGAAGATGTTCTACTACTTCTTCATCAGTGTCCTTGGAGCGGTGAGTACATGGCAATTGAA